TTGTAAATATTACTATTTGGTTCACGGTTTTACGAGAGAGACTCCAAGATAGCTTGCGTGCAGACCGCTCTTCCTGTAAATTATGAAATCAACGGTCTACTTGACAGTGAAAGAATAAGAATGTGATTGTAATTGTACATGTTTCCTATAACGGAAAAGTAGATGTATAAAGAAAGACATGTATTTTGCTTACAGTGTGAATAAATATGCACAAGTTTATCAGTTAATTGCTTGAAGGCGCGCTGCTTGGTGGAGAAAATAAAGCAGGCTATGAAAAAGGACCTTGAAAAAATTCCGAAATGAATGTCATGACGGCAGGAAAAAAGTATAAGAAATTGCGATATTATTCATTCAAAATTTTACAGCGCAAGTCAACTTAAGATAAAAACCTTAAGCGTACACAATATTTCATGAAAGATTTTTTAAATCTTAAAAATCGTAAAACCTCAATAAAAGATCTCACCTTATATGTCTTATATTCAGTCGCGCAATTCGTGATAAAAGTGCAGACAAATGTCGCAACGACAAGTTTATAATTACCCATAAACAGGTTCAGGATGATTGATCAATAAATTATCATTATTAATCCCTCTTGTTGTTTAGAATATTATTCTTTGTTGTCTTTTCTAAGTTCCATATTATTCAAGTTTCTACAAAGCGTGTTTTGTAATCATTCCCATTGGGAATTGAGCGGCAATCAGTGCGCATTCTCCGCGATCTACACCGACGCAAACCTACGTTTTCTATAAGTTACTTATGTATATACCAAAAAGATGTAAATAAGAAGTGCACCATGGCTTTTTAAAAAGAATTGTAAGACCTGGGGCTGTTAGATAGGTTTATCAAGAACAAAAAARGATGACGCTAGCGTCAAGAGTTTCGACATCAATCCTTCGGTAAGCATAAGCGCTTTGTGATGACAGAAAACAGCAAAACCTCCTCKAGRTTATCTCGGCGGAGTATGAGCTGGGCCTCTCTACATCTAAGTCCTATTCTAAGAAGAAGGACTTTCCCTTCTAATGGACAGCTTTCTGAGAGAGAAGAGTCTGAGAACGAAGGTATACTTAATCGTAAATCATGTATAATGTAATATGGATTAAGCCCTTACTGGGGTTCTTACTATGCGTTAATTAAGTGGTTGATCTAGGGTGTTATTTATACAAACTGCGCAAAATTACGCGCAACTGAGTGAAAATAAATGTTGTACATGGTTGTGATTTTAGCTGGATTTGACTGGCTGGCACATTTGCATCTGAAACAGGTGTATAGACGAAGATGATACGAAAACAGGAAACACAACATACGTCACCAAAGCATATTGATTTTATCATGATTTCGTGCGAATCAACGTTTCCTTGTTGAAAAATATTGAAATAAAAGTCCAAAGTTTTGATTGAAATAACAAACGTCTTGACATGTCTTGAGTTTGGAAGGCAGTTATCACCTTACTGCATTAACTGAATAAGTACTTAAAATCAATTTTAAATTGTAGTTTGTCCCATTGTTTAGCTAAAATTCAAATAATTGTGTTTTCTTGTATAAGCAATTTGTACTGCGATAGGTATCACATGAAGATTTTAAACTGCACGCAAGTCTTGCAAAGTTTGCATTCGCAAAAAGTAAACAAAACTGAGCTGGAAAATTACATCATTACATCATATTGTTTGCTGTATTCTGGGTGCTGATGTTGTTGTTGTTGTTGTGGTTGTTGGTGTTGTTGTTGTTATATACACTGGAAAAAATCGCGCGCTTTAAAGGTTGTAAATTTGGTGTAAATATGATGTAAGTGTCCAAAATTCTGTAAATTTAATGGAAATCATTTACATCAGATTTACAGAATTTTGGACACTTACATCATATTTACATCAAATTTACAACCTTTAAAACGCGCGATTTTTGCCAGTGATATCGCATAAAACGATTTAAAATTACACGCGTTCATTGTAGAGATCAAGGGAGCTGATAGCCCTGACGGTTTAAGCTCGCCAGAATATAGCGGATCACCGAGACTGGGTGGAAAACCTCGAAAAGAAGACTCTAAACTGCAGAATAAAGGTACGTAGGGATTGCATGTTAGTATTATGATCAACATGATTATACAACTTTTTGGATGTGACGTCATTTAGCGTTTATAGCTGACATACTGACACCGGGACCCCTTCCCTCCCCTCCCATCTTCAATGACGCCAGGTTTGCTTTCATAGCAACTGATAGACGGATATGATGACCCATCATTCTGATTTTCTGAAAATTAATTAAATGTGATTTTTGTGGCCGTTCGTAACACGGATGAGCCACTATGGTGTAGCATATAAGTAAGTTCTTGCCTAAGTAAGTAACTACCTCTTTTTTCAGTGTTTTACAAGCGGTCTATGAGTCTAGATAAAGCGGGGTGGTCACTGTCATCGTTAAAATTACCAAAAACTAAAGGTAACACTCATGTTATAAATAGATGCTCGCTGTTGTGCCGTGTTTAACATTTATGGCGCGCAATGAAGTAACCTGGTATATCCGCGATGAAAGAAAATCAATCGAATTCCGCGCAAAATAAGCATCACAATGATAGCCCTGGCATCTAAAATCCACAAGTTTAGTAACTTCTGTAGTATAACCTGACGTGATTTTTGAAGTTCATTTATTTTCCTTTGTAGAAAAACGTTCACGAAGTTTAATTGTTGGCGATAATAAACGCTTATGGTCCCCAATGCTAAAACTGAAAGAAATACGAGAAAGAGGTAAATTTAACCATGGAATGCGATGCGGGGGAGGATGTAAAAAGAAAAAGTAAAAGCTGTGCTCAATGATTATACCTCAAAACGACATTGCATCTTTCATGTATACATGTGCTYCTAGGTGTAGCTGATAGCCTGACTGTTCAACGTGTTCTTGAGTCTCCAGTTGTGAGAGTCAATGGTGAAGATTTTTCAAAAAACAATGTAGGAGATTCTGSAGCCGTTAGCATTGGTAAGGACGGTTCATCTTCRCATGTTTGTTGAGTATCATATGGTGTCGGGACTTTTTTGTAATTTGATCAACTCCTGACAACTGAGAATGGAAATAAGTTATGAAACGGAAATAAGAGATACTGAATTTAAAAGTACTAAAAAACATAGAAAAAAAAACCCGACAGACGGGATAACAATGATGAACTGATAGATTAACGTAATCTGACCCATTTTTCAGAAACAATTTCTTCAATAGACGAGACTGAGACAGAAGAGGAAGAAGAAGAGAACTTCAATTTTCCGTTTATCCCTGGTAGGACTTATTTACTATCGATTACTACAATAATGTGACAAGTACGTATACAATAATGTACACGTACGTATCGTAATGCGCGCACGTATTCAGTGTGCCGGACATATCGTAATCAACTACTTCAAAAGCATGAAGTCACTGTGAAGCTCAAATACGAAACTGTTTCAGCTCAGCAGTCCTGTGTAGTTTGCAACAATTTTGATTTCCGCTAGGTGTTGCGAAACAATACACACTGTCCAGGAATTGCAAAATTGCCAGGCATACCATGGTATCGAAGACTMTAAGAAAASCGATTTAAACTCATTCCACCCCGTAGGAATGAGGAAACAACTTGAAGACTTTTCATAYAAATCTAAATGTTTTTATTTCGTGTGATCGGTTGTAATTACTAATGGTAGATAATTTCAAATCAAAACAATAATTTCACTAAGTGTAGCTAAATTAATAGCGATGTCAAATTTAACCAATCAAAACTCTCAATATTACCACGTGGTTAAGTATGTGATTCCTAAACTAATAGACGTCAAATAGGTGTCAATCAAAGTTAATTTATGCCACTAAATATGTTTCCCGATACTTGCAAAATGGCCGCACTAGCRGGATGATATTGGACTTTGTTTTTGACCAATTTTGATAGGCTAGAAAGCAATTATAGAACTTTAGCTGGAGAGATGTGAGTCAAACGMTAGGGACTGGAATTAGGCTAGGAATGTCGTCAGTGAAAGGAAAATTTCCATCGATATCCATCAAGCGGAAACCCAAGGCACAAGCTGGCAGTTCGAGTCAACTTTCTGCAAGTTCTACGTCTCAGAGTCAAATATTTCGGCCTCTAACCCCGGTTGGTAGATTTTTGAAATAGCAAAGCATTTGATGAAGTCTTTATGTTATTTTTAGAGGTGTCGTTAATCTGAAAATTATATTTTTGTTGGTTGTTTTAAATTAAGGAGGTCGCGAGACGAGTTCTTCCAAGTGCAGAAACTAACTTCAATAATGGTCAAGAGATCACAAACTCTTCATTATATACTAAAGAAAATGACTGTGATGTTTTAGAAAGTCCCAGCAGTTCATCGACATTGAGTTCAGAGGCAAAAGTAGTTATTCGAAGCCCGCGACCGCAAATTCGTGGTTTGAATCACCGAGAATCTTTGACTTCGCTCGGACACGATCGTAGCGCTGATCGTAGCGGGTCGGTCAACAGTGAAAGCAGTGTTTACAGCGATTTGATAGAGCTCCCAATGGTCGATCAGGACGATATAATTGCCTTGACTTATCACGTAAGAGCTTTTTCGGAAGCTCTTGGGGCTCTAAGGAATACATTCTCCGAGGAATCAGGTATAATTATGCACCTCAGTGGCTAGTTAAGCTAATTGTTGAATTGTTTACAAAAATCTCCAGAGGTATTCT